AGACTCAACACTACCCATAGACTCAACACTACCCATAGACTCAACACTGCCCATAGACTCAACACTGCCCATAGACTAACACTACCCATAGACTCAACACTGCCCATAGACTCAACACTACCCATAGACTAAACACTACCCATAGACTCAACACTGCCCATAGACTCAACACTACCCATAGAATCAACACTGCCCATAGACTCAACACTACCCATAGACTAACACTGCCCATAGACTCAACACTACCCATAGACTCAACACTACACATAGACTAACACTACCCATAGACTCAACACTACCCATAGACTCAACACTACCCATAGATTTTGCTTTAAAGCTTTCGTGACTGCAGTAATTCATAATCTTAGCTCTATCGGTAAAGTCAAGAGACTTTACCGAAAGAGCTAAGAATATGAACTACCCATAGACTCAACACTGCCCATACACTCTAAATTTCACACTTAACTTACAATTTAGCAATCTTTGAAATAGCGTAATCAACCAGACCATGCGTTAATTGTGTTTTAACCGACTGTCTGTGTTGCTTTATATAGTTTCCAAATTTTGCTAAACGCTGTTTGATTTAGTGTGCTCCGTCTATCTCTGTGTCCCCTGGTGTGTCTGTGTTAATTCCCTCTACTTAAGGTCTGTATATATATCAGCGGTTATGTGTTTCCTCTCTCTCTTAAATTTAGCTCTTCTGTACATGATGATTGCTTGTGTTGCAATCGAAACGGCGTATGCTATAATGTCATTTTATTTTCATTATTTATTCTATGTGACGTTACCGAAAAAAACAAAGAGTAATTCCTGCAGTCACGAAAGCACCTCATCAAGTTTACTGCCCATACACTCAACACTGCCCATAGACTCAACACTACCCATAGACTCAACACTGCCCATAGACTAAACACTGCCCATAGACTCAACACTACCCATAGACTCAACACTACCCATAGACTAACACTACCCATAGACTCAACACTACCCATAGAATCAACACTACCCATAGACTCAACACTACCCATAGACTCAACACTGCCCATAGACTCAACACTGCCCATAGACTCAACACTGCCCATAGACTCAACACTACCCATAGACTCAACACTACCCATAGACTAACACTACCCATAGACTCAACACTACCCATAGACTCAACACTACCCATAGACTCAACACTACCCATAGACTCAACACTACCCATAGACTCAACACTGCCCATAGACTCAACACTGCCCATAGACTCAACACTGCCAACAGACTCAGCACTACCCATAGACTCAACACTGCCCATAGACTCAACACTGCCCATAGACTCAACACTGCCCATAGACTCAACACTGCCCATAGACTCAACACTACCCATAGACTCAACACTACCCATAGACTCAACACTACCCATAGACTAACACTACCCATAGACTCAACACTACCCATAGACTCAACACTGCCCATAGACTCAACACTACCCATAGACTCAACACTACCCATAGACTAACACTACCCGTAGAATCAACACTGCCCATAGACTCAACACTACCCATAGACTCAGCACTGCCCATAGACTCAACACTGCCAACAGACTCAGCACTGCCAACAGACTCAGCACTACCCATAGACTCAACACTGCCCATAGACTCAACACTGCCCATAGACTAACACTACCCATAGACTAACACTACCCATAGACTCAACACTACCCATAGACTCAACACTACCCATAGACTCAACACTGCCCATAGACTCAACACTACCCATAGACTCAACACTACCCATAGACTAACACTACCCGTAGAATCAACACTACCCATAGACTCAACACTACCCATAGACTCAACACTGCCCATAGACTCAACACTGCCCATAGACTCAGCACTGCCCATAGACTCAGCACTGCCCATAGACTCAACACTGCCAACAGACTCAGCACTGCCAACAGACTCAGCACTACCCATAGACTCAACACTGCCCATAGACTCAACACTGCCCATAGACTCAACACTACCCATAGAATCAACACTGCCCATAGACTCAACACTACCCATAGACTAACACTGCCCATAGACTCAACACTACCCATAGACTCAACACTACACATAGACTAACACTACCCATAGACTCAACACTACCCATAGACTCAACACTACCCATAGATTTTGCTTTAAAGCTTTCGTGACTGCAGTAATTCATAATCTTAGCTCTATCGGTAAAGTCAAGAGACTTTACCGAAAGAGCTAAGAATATGAACTACCCATAGACTCAACACTGCCCATACACTCTAAATTTCACACTTAACTTACAATTTAGCAATCTTTGAAATAGCGTAATCAACCAGACCATGCGTTAATTGTGTTTTAACCGACTGTCTGTGTTGCTTTATATAGTTTCCAAATTTTGCTAAACGCTGTTTGATTTAGTGTGCTCCGTCTATCTCTGTGTCCCCTGGTGTGTCTGTGTTAATTCCCTCTACTTAAGGTCTGTATATATATCAGCGGTTATGTGTTTCCTCTCTCTCTTAAATTTAGCTCTTCTGTACATGATGATTGCTTGTGTTGCAATCGAAACGGCGTATGCTATAATGTCATTTTATTTTCATTATTTATTCTATGTGACGTTACCGAAAAAAACAAAGAGTAATTCCTGCAGTCACGAAAGCACCTCATCAAGTTTACTGCCCATACACTCAACACTGCCCATAGACTCAACACTACCCATAGACTCAACACTGCCCATAGACTAAACACTGCCCATAGACTCAACACTACCCATAGACTCAACACTACCCATAGACTAACACTACCCATAGACTCAACACTACCCATAGAATCAACACTACCCATAGACTCAACACTACCCATAGACTCAACACTGCCCATAGACTCAACACTGCCCATAGACTCAACACTGCCCATAGACTCAACACTGCCCATAGACTCAACACTACTCATAGACTCAACACTACCCATAGACTAACACTACCCATAGACTCAACACTACCCATAGACTCAACACTACCCATAGACTCAACACTACCCATAGACTCAACACTACCCATAGACTCAAAACTACCCATAGACTCAACACTGCCCATAGACTCAACACTGCCAACAGACTCAGCACTACCCATAGACTCAACACTGCCCATAGACTCAACACTGCCCATAGACTCAACACTGCCCATAGACTCAACACTACCCATAGACTCAACACTACCCATAGACTCAACACTACCCATAGACTAACACTACCCATAGACTCAACACTACCCATAGACTCAACACTGCCCATAGACTCAACACTACCCATAGACTCAACACTACCCATAGACTAACACTACCCGTAGAATCAACACTGCCCATAGACTCAACACTACCCATAGACTCAGCACTGCCCATAGACTCAACACTGCCAACAGACTCAGCACTGCCAACAGACTCAGCACTACCCATAGACTCAACACTGCCCATAGACTCAACACTGCCCATAGACTAACACTACCCATAGACTAACACTACCCATAGACTCAACACTACCCATAGACTCAACACTACCCATAGACTCAACACTGCCCATAGACTCAACACTACCCATAGACTCAACACTACCCATAGACTAACACTACCCGTAGAATCAACACTACCCATAGACTCAACACTACCCATAGACTCAACACTGCCCATAGACTCAACACTGCCCATAGACTCAGCACTGCCCATAGACTCAACACTGCCAACAGACTCAGCACTGCCAACAGACTCAGCACTACCCATAGACTCAACACTGCCCATAGACTCAACACTGCCCATAGACTAACACTACCCATAGACTCAACACTACCCATAGACTCAACACTACCCATAGACTCAACACTACCCATAGACTCAACACTACCCATAGACTCAACATTGCCCATAGACTCAACACTACCCATAGACTCAACACTGCCCAGAGACTCAACACTACCCATAGACTCAACACTACCCATAGACTCAACACTGCCCATAGACTCAACACTGCCCATAGACTAACACTACCCATAGACTCAACACTGCCCATAGACTCAACACTACCCATAGACTCAGCACTGCCCATAGACTCAACTCTGCCAACAGACTCAGCACTGCCAACAGACTCAGCACTGCCAACAGACTCAACACTGCCCATAGACTCAACACTGCCCATAGACTAACACTACCCATAGACTAACACTACCCATAGACTCAACACTACCCATAGACTCAACACTGCCCATAGACTCAACACTACCCATAGACTCAACACTACCCATAGACTAACACTACCCGTAGAATCAACACTACCCATAGACTCAACACTACCCATAGACTCAACACTACCCATAGACTCAACACTACCCATAGACTCAACACTGCCCATAGACTCAACACTGCCCATAGACTAACACTACCCATAGACTCAACACTACCCATAGACTCAACACTGCCCATAGACTCAACACTACCCATAGACTCAACACTACCCATAGACTAACACTACCCGTAGAATCAACACTACCCATAGACTCAACACTACCCATAGACTAACACTACCCATAGACTCAACACTACCCATAGACTCAACACTACCCATAGACTCAACACTGCCCATAGACTCAACACTGCCCGTAGACTCAAGACTGCCCATTTACGCAACACTGCACCTCCAATTAGCACGGTTGGCTACGAATGGTGGTGTTGGTGGTGGTGATGGTAGTGGCAGTGGTGGCAGTGGTGGTGATGGCGGCGGTGGTGGCGGTGTCGATGGTAGTGGCGATGGTAGTGGCAGTGGTGGCGGTGGTGGCGGCGGTGGTGGCGGTGGTGGTGGTGGTGGCGGTGGCGATGGTAGTGGCAGTGGTGGTGGCGGTGGTGTCGGTGGTGGTGGTGGTGGCGGTGGTGGCATTGATGGTGGCGATGGCAGTGGCGATGGTAGTGGTAGCGGTGGCAGTCGTGTCGGCGGTGACGGCGGCTTTGTCCGCTCACCGCCGGGCCGCAGCAGGAGCGGTGTGGGTGGGCTCCGCTCGACGCGGTCCACCCCGGCTCCGTGTTCTCCCCGCGCCTTGCTGCGCACCACGCAGGAGTAGCGCCCCGCGTCCGTGCCCTCCACCCGCGTGATGTACAGGTTGCCCGTCAGCTGGGACACGAACCGCCGGCCGTCCGATAGCACCTCCACCTCTTCCTCCACCTCCTCCTCCGCCTCCTCTTCCATTGCCGCCGCCGCCGCCGCCGCCCCCTCTCTCTCCCGTTTTCCGGCCGTGCCGCTACGGACGCGCGTCCGGCGTCTCCGCCCGGTGGACTTCAGCCAGCTGTAGGACACCTCTGCAAGACGACGCGAACGAGAGAAGCGCGGTCGGCAACATCCAAACGCAGGACCGCAGAGCTTGGGAAATTCTTTTTTTCTTTAATCTCTCTCTTTTAAAAAAAAAATGAGATGTAGCTCGCCCTGCTCGGCCACGTGTGTGAGTTTTCCTCCCAGATGTTTAAAAAAATACCTCTCGTTGGTAAATTTGCCCAAACATCCAAATGTAGGACCGCAGAACTCAGTCCTCCTCCTCGTCCTCCTCGCAAACGCGGCGTGCGGTTTTCATCCGGGCTCTCCGCTTTCCTCCCGCATGGATAAACAACTTACTCATCGATCTGGCCGGACCTTCCAAATGTTGGAGCACGGAACTTGGGCAATTTTTCTTATTAAAGATTTAGATTCATACCCCCCCCCCCCCTGCTCGCACACGTGTGTGGTGTCTCACCGGTTTCCACCGAAGAGTATCAATAAAACATGAAATAAAAAATAAACCCCCCGTTAGTAGAGCTGACCGAACATCCAAATGCAGGACCACAGAACTTGGGCAATTATTGGCCCACGTGTTAATCCGCAATTGTTGGCGTCGGTCCTGGCCGCCTTCCTTCCCGCTTGCGTGCGATTTCCCACCAACCTCCGTGCGCGGAAGATGCCTCGCGTCACGAAGTACGGCCACAGCGTTGGCGAGATGCCGTTCTTATCGCCAAGCGGACCATTCAAACATTCAGCGGGGCGACTCTCTCTTCAATGTTATGCACACATATATATTAAAAAACATCCCGATTGTAGAGTCGCGAGCCGAAGGATCCCTGCCGGAACAGACGCACCCTCCACGCTGTTCAGTTGCCGATCCTGCCCGCCACCGGCTCCGCTTCCCCCCCCCCTCCCGCTCCGGCTCCCCCCTCCCCTCTCCCCATTGGTTATCCACGTCGGCCGCCACCCCCCCCCCCGGGCCCTCATCGGCGGCGCACGCCGTAGGCTCGGGGCGCAAAACGTCGCGGGGTTGCCGCGGAGACGGAGGCGGCTGGGAATGAGCGCGCCGTGGAACGTTACGTAGGCGCGCTGCACTCGACTCCGAGGGGTACGCCAAGCCCCAGTCATCCCCAGGATTATCGCTACCCTGTATTCATCCTGTAAACCCGCGGGCAGGTTTATTGGGAGGGGGGAATTAGGCGGCGAGATGGAGGCGGCGTGGCCAAAATAATCCACCCGACGGCGATCCGGACTTTCCCGGGGTGAGAATTAATCACTGGGGTGGAAACCCTTCGTGTTGGAAAGTGGCTCGCGGAAGCGGATATCACAGAGCTACCGCTGAGATCTCCTTCTTCTTATTCAAGCGACGCTCTGGTGCACACAGAACGGCCCGTGGAAGTGGACATGACAGAGCTACCTCCGAGATCCCCTTCTTCTTCTTACTCAAGTGACGCTCTGGTGCACACAGAACGGCCCGCGGAGGTGGATATGACAGAGCTACCTCTGAGATCTCCTTCTTCTTATTCAAGCGACGCTCTGGTGCACACAGAACGGCCCGCGGAAGTGGATGTGACAGAGCTACCTCCGAGATCCCCTTCTTCTTCTTATTCAAGCGGCGCTCTGGTGCACACAGAACGGCCCGTGGAAGTGGACATGACAGAGCTACCTCCGAGATCCCCTTCTTCTTCTTACTCAAGCGACACTCTGGTGCACACAGAACGGCCCGCGGAAGTGGATATGACAGAGCTACCTCCGAGATCCCCTTCTTCTTCTTATTCAAGCGGCGCTCTGGTGCACACGCAGAGCACAGGGGGCAGCACTTTCCCACCCGCCCTGCCGGTGTGAGAGTAGCGCTCGTCACGTGACGGTCACGACCTCTACATTTTTGTTCCACCGTCTCAGACGGTGCATCTTGGGCCCTAAAGAAATTCAGAAAATCGCCTGGGCCCATCGACGGCGCATCGATGAAACGTGACGATCGGTCTGTGGTCGCCGATTGCCGTCAGGATTTGACGGCTGAGCGGCAGCCGGGAGACGGAACGCCACCCCGAGACAGAGAGAGGCGCGCCTCCTCCGCGCGAGACGGGGCTATGAATTCATCTCTCGTGTGTGTTTTGTTGTTGTTGTGCGTGTTGTTGTTGTTTTTGTTTGTTTTGTTGTTGTTGTTGTGTGTGTTGTTGTTGTTTTTGTTTGTTTTGTTGTTGTTGTTGTGTGTGTTGTTGTTGTGTGTGTTGTTGTGTGTTTTGTTGTTGTGTGTGTGTGTTGTTGTTGTGTGTGTTGTTGTGCGTGTGGAGCGGAAGTGTAGCGGTTAGCGCTACGCTGCGCTACGAAAGCCCGAGTTCAGATCGCACTCACGGCCAACACCAGTGACGATTACCTGAACCGATCCTGGGCCTCCCCTAGGACGACTCAGCCTCAAATGAGTACCTGGTTCGGTGTGTAGTAGTAAACATCGCCACTGGGGAGACAAAAGCGGCCTGGCGTGGTGCTGACCACTCACGCCCTCGTGTGCCGTTCCGGCCTTCATAGGTGGGTGCTCGCTAACAGCACTTGCCCCTACAGCCTGTTACAGGCTATTCGGGGGATCTTTATTGTTGGGCAGGCAATTTCTACGCGGATCGTCATGTCGCCGGATCGTGAGAGGTGGCGATGGCTTTGGCGGAGTCAGTTCCTTCATCCAGCAGTGGACAGACCATGGCTGATGAGGCGGGTATCGTGGCTGTCGTAGAAATAATGAAAACAATTTTTTTTCCATTTTCAATTTCTTTCCTCCCATCTCACACCCCCCCCCCCTTTTCCCCTCATTGGGAGCGAAAAGGTAAAATCAATCGGTAATAAGCAGCTCATTAACCCCCGCGCACTTCCGCAACGACCGGGAAACCGCCCTGCGCCGCACGGGCAAAGCAGGCGCAGCCCTGGGAATATCCCTGCTCACGCCCCTGCTGGCAGAAGAGGCCTCCCACTGGCAGAGAGAGCGCGAGAGAGTTTCGGTACGTACGGTGCGAAATAAACTCAACACTGCCCATAGACTCAGCACTGCCCATAGACTCAACACAGCCCATAGACTCAGCACTGCACCATAGACTCAACACAGCCCATAGACTCAACACTGCACCATAGACTCAGCACAGCCCATAGACTCAGCACTGCACCATTGACTCAACACAGCCCATAGACTCAGCACTGCCCATAGACTCAACACTACCCATAGACTCAACACTGCACCATAGACTCAACACAGCCCATAGACTCAGCACTGCACCATAGACTCAACACAGCCCATAGACTCAACACTGCACCATAGACTCAACACTACCCATAGACTCAACACTGCACCATAGACTCAACACAGCCCATAGACTCAGCACTGCCCATAGACTCAACACTGCTCATAGACTCAACACTGCTCATAGACTCAACACTACCCATAAACTCAACACTACCCATAGACTCAGCACTGCCCACAGACTCAACACTGCCCACAGACTCAACACTGCCCATAGACTCAACACTACCCATAGACTCAACACTGCCCATAGACTCAACACTGCACCTCCAATTCGCAAGGTTGTCGACGTACGGTGCGAAAGAAGTTCAAGCTAAGTGAAAGCCGTCAGCATGTTTGCGTGTTGAACTTCTTTCACACCGTACGTAGCCAACTACTCCGATGGGAGGTGCGGGGGAAGGACAACAAACTAGACATCAACTAGAGTTCTAGACAAATGAGTTTGTCAATCTTAGACGACGATTATTTAAAGGTGCATCACAGCTCCAAGTGAGCTTCCTCATATCGGAAGGGGAAGAGCATTCCAGACGGCCGCAGAATCTGCGTCTGAAAGCGCCGCGCGATGCAGCGGCGACCGCAGCCTTGGGTCGATGGCCAGCAGCAGTCCAAACGTCAATGGCTAAGGAAATATGAATCAGCTTATTGATCATCTCGTCGATAATCTGAGGATATGATACATTGGGACAAGTGCCGTGAGCGAACACTTTTGAAAGCCCGAACGGCAAAACAGACGCTGTGGGTGGCCAGCGACCATTCCCGGCCGCCTTTGTCTTCGCAGTGCCGAAGTATATATACACCACCTCCACCAACTCCTCCTCCACCACCTCCACCACCTCCTCCTCCACCACCTCCACCACCTCCACCTCCTCCTCCACCTACTACACCTCCACCACCTCCACCACCTCCTCCTCCACCTCCACCACCTCCTACACCTCCTCCTCCACCACCTCCTCCTCCACCTCCTCCTCCACCTCCTCCACCACCTCCTCCACCTCCACCACCTCCACCTCCACCACCTCCTTCACCTCCTCCACCTCCTCCTCCACCTCCACCTCCTCCTCCGCCACCTCCACCTCCTCCACCTCCTCCTCCACCTCTTCCTCCTCCACCTCCACCACCACCTCCACCTCCTTCACCTCCTCCACCTCCTCCACCTCCTCCACCTCCTCCACCTCCACCTCCTCCACCTCCACCTCCTCCACCTCTTCCTCCACCTCCTCCACCACCTCCACCTCCTTCACCTCCTCCACCTCCTCCTCCACCTCCTCCTCCACCTCCTCCACCTCCTCCACCTCCTCCACCTCCACCTCCTCCACCTCCACCTCCTCCACCACCTCCACCTCTTCCACCTCCTCCTCCACCTCCTCCTCCACCACCTCCTTCTCCATCTCCTCCACCACCTCCACCACCAGGAGGGGTTCGAATAATCACTGCCCCCACTCTTTTATCGGTCGTGAGCGAGAATCGACCCTCGGATGCCAAGTGCTGCGCTAACCACTGCGCCACCGCTCCCAAAACGCACGTGACACACGGTGGATGCCCATCGTAATTGAAATGCGCGTGAAGGGCTCACAAGTGATGCCATCACATCTACCCCACTCAATTTAAGGGAACGGAACGGGTGGAGGACTTCGCCACAAATCTGGCTGCTGTCCGTCTGATGATGCCGTTTGTAATTACTGGCGAAACGTCGTACAGATTGTAAATGTTGCGGATTTGCTCTCCGACACACAACCGGCGGTGCTGTGCTCGTGACGAATT